ATACACAATTGCCATATTCTATTATCCTACATAGAGATAATTTTGGTAAAATCTTATGTTAATATATTTCTATGGTTTCATCTTTTCTACTGTTTACATTATTTCTAAATAATCTTTAACTCTCCAAAAGAGCAATGCAAGTTCACTGATTGTCATTTATGCACACTACCATAATGTAGTGGTCAAAATCATCTGAGGCGCTCCTCAGATGCACTTGGCAACATATCTGTCGGCTGTTGTTTGAATAATTTCTGAACTTGAGAAAAGACGGCCAAAATCAACTTACATGTTACAGACCTAAGCAAACAAATAAAATCTTTCCATTACCAATCAATTCTTATGCAGTTTTGTTGTGCCTGATGGGAAAGGACATTCCCATGAAAGTATCATAAATTCAGATTAAAAACCAAGTGCCTTCAAAATGGCAATAATCCTAACCAAGAACCACCCTGTTTTATATTGATATTTTTTGTCTTTATAAACACATTAAACACACAATGCTAAAATAGAGGGGGGAATTTCATTTAAAATCATTACATGATATACAACCATATAACTAAAAAAGTACAGTTACAGTATAGAAGTAATATTTCCCCATCTGTTTGTCCAGTATGTCAATTTGCGCTGTTTGTATTTTTGAAAATTTTGTCTTGTTGCACCAGTGTACACTTCTCATGCTGACCCTCCAATTTGGAATACTTACAGAAGTCAAGACTGAAAACATGATTTTTCCTGCTCTGTAATCCACTTTACCAGCCCACTTCCATATCTTGAAAGGTATGTAAACTTAAGTGCAGCACTAGGTGTCTCTATAAATGCTCTTTTCAGAATTCTTCCATACTTGTAGAAACATTAGGCGTTGCTGGGTTTGAATCTTGAGAAATGGCTGCAACTGCAACTATTCTTGGGGAGCCAAGGACCTCAGTAACTGAAGAGTCCAGTTCTCCTGAGGTAACAATAGCAAGAGCTGTTCCACCACCTTTCTTGTTCTGATGAGTTTTGACGTGTTTGGAGAGATGGTCACTTCGCATAAACCTTTTAGAACACTCTGGACACTCAAATCTCTTTTCACCTGATTTAGAAAAAGAACAAAAATAAGTAAAAAAGAATATTCAAAGTGTTTAATTTCTTTTACTTACTCAAACATTTTTTTCCATTCAACATTTTAAAAAATATATGTTGTGTGCATCATAAATTGTAACATGGATGACAGTGGTCAATCTAGCCCAGTATTCTGTCTCAGAGACTTGCAAGTAGCAGGTGTTTTAAAGGAAGAGTACAGGAGCTAGGCATGTCTGGAGTGATTCATCCCATCATACCTTCCCTAGCATCAACCATCATTGGTTTAGGGATATCAGAAGATACATTTGCGATTGTACTGGTCTTTCATGAAGTTGTCTAATCCATTAAGAATCACAGGGTTCCCTTAATCATATAAAGACATTTCTAGACTGATTTAGGATGAGGATGGACTATAGGTCTCTTCTCTAGGCTCATGTCCTGGTCAGCTATTACTGAAGGCTGTTATGATACTTAGTATGTGGAAAATAATCCAATTTTCTATTCTGAGCTAATCACACCCCCCCTCCACTACAAAAAACCCCCCAAACAAACCCAACCCTCCCACAAAAAAGTCTTCTTCGGAGAATGGCAGGAAAAACCAGGTGATGCAATTTGTGGGCATCCACTCTTTTCAAGGTTTAAACAACTCCAAATGGGAGTAAGGATTTTCTTTAACTCAGAAAATAGCTCAAAAATTTTAGGTCATAGTTGCTAGCTAATCAGAACCTAAAGTTAATCTTTGTGTAAACAGAGTAACAACTTGAGTTCTGCTTAGGTTCTACACTACAGCCTCCTGTACAGGGGAAAACCAATATGCATAAATTTAAAAATGATATGACATCTTAAAATACTCTGTACTATTTCAAATACAAAAATTCAGCAAATACAAAAAAATTATTTTCTTTAAAATTACCATTCATCTTTAACTATGACCATTATCCAACTACTATACCAAACAGACAGTAGACCAACCTGTGTGGGTTCTTCTATGTCTCTGAAGCTCATCGCTCCTTGTAAATCTTTTTCCACAAAACATCCAATTGCATACAAATGGTCTTTCTCCAGTATGCCAACGAAGGTGTGCCCGGAGATGAGAGGTTTTCCCATAAACTTTTCCACATCCTTCAATATGGCAGATGTGTTGTTTCTTTTTTCCTGGTTCATTGCTACCCCTAACAAGGTTAAAAGTCAGAGTTAGCTGCTTTTTCTCTAAAGTATCATCAGTTCACACTGAGGAAGAATACAAAATTGCAAATTATGTGGATTATAATCTTCATGCTGAATAGAAGATCAGTGAGGACTTGTTTTATTTATGTACAGACTTACAAGTATGACAATACAAGGGAAAAAAAGAACAAGGCTCTGATAAGGCATCTAAAAATTATCAATAAACTGATTTACCTTCCTTCTCCTTCCCTACAATTAGGACATGAACAGGCCACTCTTCTTAACCTCTTGCCGGGTTGCACTTCCTGGTCAGACGCTTGTTGAGCTTGCTGCAACTGCACTTGTGTGATCTGATCAGGACTAACAGCACCAATTGCTGCATTAGCAATGCCTCCTACTGCTACAGTTACAGGTGCTATTGTAGCTTGCTGTACTTTCACTCCTCCATCTTGTCCTTGATGCTGACCTGTAAAATAGTAATAAAACATCCTTGTAATTTTTACTGGTCATTTCAGCAGGGCCAGAGAATTACACGAACATTTCATACAAAAAAGCAAATGCTTCCTGAAGGTTGGAAGAATATTAAAACTAATACTAAACCCAGTCAAGTTTACCCATATGCTCTTGATATACTGCAACAGACCCATATACCAGTGGAGATGGTCCTGAGAAGTATATGGCTCTAACAGGAAATAGTAAGTGGTTGTATTGCTATTTGCTATCTCTAAGCAAGGTGTCAAACATATGGCCCACAGAAATGTTCCATCCAGTTCTGGAAGTTAGGGGGTGTGATCTGCCCCAGTATTTGGGTCATGACCACAATGGACATGGCCATTGGTGGTCATCCCTGGATTCTCACTACTGCCTGCCTCTAGACCTGTGCTGCCACCCAAACATGGCTTTGCACTGCAACCACGGTGAATGTAGCTCCACAGCACTTGCTGCTGGCATAGTAGATCTGGCCTGAGAGAAGCCCCTTGGTTCGGATCTGGCCTAAAATAAATTTGACATCCATGCTCTAGAGAGAAGAGATACCCATCCAGAAGGTAAGAAACAAAATATTATACAGTCATATGTTTGCAAACTTTCAATGCATTTTCCTAGAATAAATTCAGAAAGTATTTTCCATTTTTAAACTAACAGCCATTGTTTTTAGAAGCTATTTTAGAAGATAAATATAGACTGGTTACCTACCTTACAGGAATCATGGTTCTTCAAAAAGCTGTAGCCAGCGTGGATCCTACTGCAGGTGCACATATAGCACATGCACAAAACCAAATATTTTTTTATATCTGAGCTGTTCATGTGCCCTGTGCCTCCTCATGCTCAAGTAGAAAAGCATAAGAAACCCAACCTACCAAAGATGCATCTCTCAAAGCCCATTATGCTAGAGACTCTGAAAAGTGAGGATGGGAAGTGGATAATGGGACCCACTTGACTATATCAGATTATATCACCACAAAGATCTGCATCTAGTACGTGCAGATCCCACTACAGATGAGAAGCTACAGCTGGCCTCAGAGATACTGTTAAATCTTAATCAAACCAAAATTATAGTATTTTCACTCCAAATCCGATATCAAAGCCAGGCCAGTGAGTTACTATATTTGTTACCTTACAGATACCACTTATCAGCAGCTTCTGATGATTTCAACTGGTAGACAGAATATACTCAACTAACCAGGTGACAAACAGTGAAAACATGAGGAATCAACTTTACAAGCCTTTGTGATGAGAATGCTTAGCCTCTTGATGTTCAAGAAAGAAACTAGAAGACAGCCTGAAGGACTCAATCCTGGCATGGTAATACAGCACAACTTTAGACATGTCCAAGTTATGTCATTCTTTTTTTGCAGAATAGTGTCATTCATAATCCAATGGATTGATAAAACTACCTACTTCATCACTACTTTTTCTGTGAAATGATGTATATGGCAGGGCAGTTTAGCCATAGCAGCTTGGATCTTGATCATTCTCTGTGCTGATAGGATGCCAACTATGAAGACTGATCTTGAAACTGGAGTAAAGCACATTTCATTTACGATTCACAGGGTAGTTCCATGAGCCACAGGAAAATGACATTAAGATCTCAGATTGAAGTCAGGTCTCCAATGAAGAGAGAGACATGAGGAAGTACCGTTGTAAGAAAACTGAATGCAATTTAAATTGTTTGATATCTAGATACAGCTGCCAGGTGAACTCTAAATGCCATTCCTGCCTGCCTGTATTTTTGGAATCACAGGCTTCACTGGATTTGTATAGTTTTGGACTGACCTTTCTAATACAAGTGCAGAAGAGTAGATAAAGTAGGTCTTTTCAGTAGACTTCTTCCTGTGCTGTAGTAAAAAAAATCTTGTATCTGTTACAAGAATTTCTTCAAGTACTGCTCATCTAGGACATCATGTGTCTGTGGATTTGGACACATTCCTTGTTCTGAGAAACCCATATTTTCTCACATACAACATGCCCTGGAATAAGATACGTGCCTTATCAATAAAATGCAGAACAAAATGAAAAAAAAAATCTGTTCTTGTAGTAAACAGCTATGGAGTCAAGGCTGCTCACTGGTCTGCTCTCTGTGGATCATGTGCAGACTTAATTTTGCTCAGAGAAGCTTAAGCAGCATACCATACTTATAACACACACCCCAATTTCCAGCAGCTGATTTTAGGGGAAAAAAAAGGTGTCTGTGATGCATGTGAGAAAATAGAGTACTTTGTCTGGAAAGGAATATGAGGATGTCTAGACATCTGCTGAGGTCCAGAACTAAAAACCATCTGAAATTTAGACAGTTTTTACTGTTACACCTTATCTAAATCAATAAGGGACCAACATGATGATGATACCCTTGTCCCATCTCAGCTAGATTCTTATGTCATATATACTCAGAAATGTAAGTGGTAAAGCATGCAAGAGATCAAGATGCTTGAAAGAAAATGGTTTCATGAATATTTCACTATTGGAATATCAGAAGTAGAATATATTTTTACAGTGACCACTCATTGTTAGTTACATTTCAGCTCTGGATGACACAGATCTATCAATCATTAACCTCTGAAAGTAAGTCTGTAGGATGACTGCCCATGGGTATCCCTCCCCCCCACAAAAAACCCACCTAAACGAATAAACAAACAAAAAAAACCCCCAAAACAAAACACCTCAGTGGCTCCCAGAGGAAGTGATCAGATACCTCCTTACCTAGTAAGAGTGCAGTCACCAATATAGTGTCCATTAAGATTTCTACTACCGAGTTGTTTAGAACAGACAGGAAAGCTATACAGATCTGTAATTCCAGATCACTTCAAGGTTATGTGTCATGCATTTGGAAGGCAATTCAGATGGGCACTCCATCTGGTTTCTGCTCATCTTTAAATGTCTAGCTACCACATACATTCTTGCAGGACTTAACACATGATAGCGATAAATCTATTCATGAGGCTAGACTAGGATATAAACCATCTTCAGTCATAGTTGTTATAATGGCTTCCCATAAAACTAGGCAAGCTGCATCACATGTACATACACAAGCAAACATGTTCTAGCAATCCCAGGCACAGTATATTACCATAGTAAGTCTTTTCCCTTTGTACAAGGCTAGGGACAGAAGTTACACATAAACTGGTTCAAGTCAGGCTTTTAGCTTGAGCCACTGCAGGCATGTGCCTGCATTTCCTGAATCAAAGGTAAATGTCTGTTCACTTCTGTTTCAATTGAATCTGTGCAATTTAGACTAACCTGCAAAGACTGAATTGATTCAGTCTTGGGCTTTTTGACTGTCTGTACTTAGTCCAAGTGACTAAAATGACCTGAACCTGTCCTCCAGCAAGCAGACCATATTGACTTAGAGAATAGAGGTTCTACCCTAATCTTTCTCAGCATATGAACAGATGTTACATTCGTCTCAGGAGAAAGTTTTTTTCCATGGAATCTTACAGATGTACGTATCTACTGTTCCACTTCTAAAGTTGCTGGATATAAAGTACTAACACTTTCTCCTGGGACATCCTCTTACATCTGTAGGGTTTGATGATTCATTCAAGGGAAGTCTGCATGCTAAACAGCCGAGCCTGGTCCTCGCTGTGGCAGAGGGGAATGGTATGGGACGCGGCCCTGCCTTCTCAGGCTCCTGGAGGTCGACAGCAGGCAGGATAGCATCAATCGACAGACCAGATACAGCCCGTGAGCCATATTTTGCCCACCCCTGGTCTAGCTCCATCCTCTTCATAACCACCATCAAGTAGCTGAAGGCTGCCTTCTCTTCTCCAGACTAAATAAACCCAGTTCCCTCAGGTCTCTCCTTAGAAGTCATGTGCCCCAGCCTCCTAACCATTTTCGTTGCACTCTGCTGGACTCTCAATTTGTCTACATCCTTTTTGTAGTGAGGGGCCCAAAACTGGACACTGTATTTCAGATGTGGCCTCACCAGTGCCAAACAGAGAGAAATAATCACTTCCCTTGACCTGCTGGCAACACTCCTACCAATGCAGCCCAGTATGCCATTAGCCTTCTTGGCAACAAGGGCAAACTGCTGGCCCATATTGAGCTTATGGTCTGCTTACCCCCCCCCCCCCCCCCAAGTCCTTTTCTGCAGAGCTACTGCTTAGCCAGTCTGGCCCCAGCCTGTACCCATGAATGGGACCGTTTCATGTTAACTGCAAGTCTTAGCACTTGTTCTTACTGAACTTCATGAGATTTATTTTGGCCCAATGCTCCAATTTGTCTAGCTCTCCAAATCCTAGCCCTACTCTCCAGCACATCTACTACTCCCCCAGCTTAGTGTCAGCTGTAAACTTTCTGAGGGCATACTCCATCCCATCTTCCAGACTGTTGATGAAGGCATTGAACAAAACTGGCCCCAGGACTGACTCTTGGGGCACTCCACTTGATACCAGCTGCCAACTAGACATTGAGCCATTGAGTACTACCCTTTGAGCCTGATGATCCAGCCAGTTTTCTATCCACCTTACAGTCCATGCTTCCTCAGTCTTCCTGGCTAGAATGTTGTGGGAGAGTATCAAAAGCCTTGCTCAAGTCAAGGTACACCACATCCACTGCTCTCCCAGCTTCCAGCAAGCCAGTCATTTAGTAATAAAAGGCAATCAGGTTGGTCAGGCATGACTTGCTCTTGGTGAGTCCATATTAATTGTTCCTAATCACCACTACCTCCTCGAAGTGCTGAGAAATGGATTCCTTGAGGACCTGCTCCATGATTTTTTCAGGGACCAAGATAAGGCTGACCAGTCTGTAGTTCCCTAGACCCTCCTTCTTCCCTTTCTTAAAAGACGGAACTATATTTGCTCCTTTCCAATCATGTAGGACCTCACCATGAGTTTTCAAAGACAACAGTCATCAACTCTGCAATCACATTGGTCAGATCCCTCAGTACCCTTGGGTATATTGCATCTGGTCCCATAGACCTGTACATGTCTAGCTTTTATAAATAGTCTCTAATCTGGTCTTTCACTA